ACGGATATACTCCAGTCACTTTAGGTCTAAACATCCTCGGCAGTGTATTTCTAGTGAATCCACAGACCCTTTTTCGTGTCATCTTGAGACTAGAAAAAGGATGACTGTTAAAATAAGTTACCTTGATCTTTCATGAGCTCCCAGTACAAAACATCATCGATATATTTTTGATGTAGGAACAACAAATTGGTTTAGAAAACATCCACTTTGAACCTAAATTGACTGGAGTAACATCGATCTACAGACAAATTCAAGGTCACGAGCAGTTGTCGGCGCTCTACGAATCTGCACAGGTTTGGACTTGTAAACGTGATTGTAGATGACACGACAGGCATCTAACAACAGTTAATTCACGCACAGGATTGCATTGCATACGCATTACGCATTCAGTAGCGGATACTCGTTTTTCGCGAGTGGAACGTTTTGTTTATATATGGCCTAAGATACGATGTCTGACACAGATACAGCCGACGAAGTGGTTGACATCAGCGCAACCCCACCCAAAAAAAGGGCTAAGAAGCTACATTTAAGTGCAAATGAAAAACAAATAATATTAAATATATACAAAAACCAAATTCAAGAAAAACCCGATTTGGTCGTGGACGAAGTTATATGTAAGGTAGCACATATTTCTGGAGTATGTTGGTCCAGTGTTTATAGGACCATTAAGGAATATAGAAGCACTCACTCACTTTCTGAGCCAAAACCGTATCCTGCAAGAAAAAGGATAACGGACGGAGTAGATGACTTTGACAGAACTGCCATCAGGAGGAAAGTGCATAATTTTTTCTTCCGAAATGAGATACCTACAGTAGATAAGATATTAAGATTAGTTAATGCTGATGAGGATCTTCCATCATTTAAAAGAACCACATTCCGAAAACTTTTGAAGGAACTTAATTTTCGATTCTTGAAACGGGGAAGAAACAGTATGTTAATAGAGAAAGAAGAAATTGTTGTGTGGAGAAGGGAATACCTTAGGAAGATTCGGAAGTTTCGCGATGAAAAAAGAAAAATTTACTATTTGGACGAAAGTGGGTGAATGCTGGACATACTCAAGCGAAAGTTTGGGTCGACAAATCAGTAACATCATCAAGGCAGGCTTTTCTAGACGGTCTTTCGGCTGGATTGAAAAATCCTACAGGTAAGCTCCTTCATCTATCCGGCAATTTAATTTTGATAAATTCGGGCAAATAATATGCTATGATAGCAGATAATGTGTGATATTCTCCAAAAATGGTGCATTCGCAGTGTAGTCATTAGGAAAAAAACTTCGACCCTCTTTTAAGCGTTATTTTGAAATTTATTATCATTTTTGGGTGCAGTCAATTTGCTTTGAATGGGTTTTGAGAAGTTGCAAACTTCAATTTTTTACGTTTTTCAGTTTTTGATCAGCATTCCGTGACTCTTAAATTCAGCTAAATGAACTCAATTGCCTCATTCCTTCAAATTTAATCAATCCATAGTGTAAGGAATAATTTATTTCCAGGAAAAGGCAAACGGCTGATCATTTGTCACGTAGGTAGTAAAGACGGCTTTGTTCCCGAAGCACTGTGGGCCTTTGAATCAAAAAAGACAGGGGACTATCATGAGGAGATGGACGGCAATTCCTTTGAAAATTGGTTCTCCAAAATGTTACTAAAGCTGGAGAATAACGCTGTTATTGTACTGGATAATGCCCCGTACCATTCTAGAAAAATAGAAATAATTCCCACAATGGCAACTAAAAAAGCAAACATACAACAATGGCTGGCCTCAAAACAGATCGATTTTGATGAAACAATGGTCAAGGGTGAATTGATAAGTATAGTCAATAGACATAAATACAAATACGATTTTAAAATGATCGACGAAATGGCCAAAAAACAAAATAAAACTGTCTTGAGACTGCCACCCTACCATTGTGAGCTGAACCCTATTGAGCTGATTTGGGCCAACATAAAGCAATACGTGGCATCGAATAATAATACTTATAAATTTTCTGATGTTAAAAATCTCTTTCACATCGCAGTCAATAGAGTTACGGCAGAGGAATGGAAAAACTGTATCCGCCACGTTCGGGAGAAGGTTGAGGTCAAAATGTGGGATTTGGACAATGTCATCGATACCCAAATTGAACCTCTAATAATTCATTTGAACGATTCAGAAGATTCAAGTTCCTCTTCTGAATGAGTGCGCGCAGCTTACTTACTAATAACTAAAAAGTGTAGTTAACTCATTTGTGAATCTCTAACTGAAATTTACTGTAAAAGATAATAATTATCTTGTATGAAATTTTTGATGACTACCCATAATATCTTGATGCGGTCCTGTAATGTCTCCTGCGCCTAAACACTCACTCACGAGCAATATGCGTGTATTTGTTTGGGTTTAGTTTCTTTCTTCAGCGCCTACAGAATAGGTAAGTTACAAATGACGTGGTGGAATGGGAAGAACTTTGATATTTTATTAATGCAGCCATTTTTATGTCAATCAAGGACATTTTATATCAAACATGTGCTTGAAATAGGCTTGATGTGCTCTTATTTTATGTTGTACCATTTATAGAAAATGGAGCCTCCTGTTGGAGTAGACTTTGTAGTATTTCAAAATATCTTAGTTTGTCTAAAGTCATCTCAAAATTATTTATATATGTAAATGCAATATTGTTTTATTATTAGGAATAAATGTACAATTTTTGTTCACATAATAAAGTGGTCGTATTCAGTTTTAGGTTTCCCTTTCCCTACCGTCTGAATTTAAAACAAAGAACTGCTTCTAGTGAATAGTGGTATATTAGAACCTGTTTCTAGGCAAACAGACAAATAGTTGGACAAACTTAATCCCATATATAATAAGTTCACAATCAATCAAAATAAAAAATATCGAATTTCGTGGGGGTTATAAAATTCGAAAATTTTAATTTTGATTCGAAAACATCAACTACCAATATCAAGTTTTCCACATTTTTTTGATATCTATAAGATTGGTCAGAACACAATTATAATGTACATAATTCAGTAAAATGCAACTTGTCCTTTTAAATTCCAAGTATTATCACAAATATCCCCTTTTAAATCTAATTAAAACGGTTTGAACAAATTTAATAAATTTAATTAATTTGTCTTACTGGCAGCAAGTAAACTCACTTTAACAGTTTATTAACTGTAAATAATTAGATGTAATCAATCCAAGTTAATAGTTTTATCAAATTAATTAAACGATTGCGTTTTGGTTTACCTAAACTGGTTTTATAGATTCAAGTAAACTGTTTTAGAAAGCGGAGTTCAAGTAAACTAATTAAACTTGCTAGCTGTCACATAGTTGATTAAATTCTTCAATTGGTCTAATTAAAATTTAAACTGGTTTAATTATTTTTTAAGTGTAGAAGGGCCCAGTGGCGGATCCGCGGGGGAGGAAGCTGGATGAGAGCCCCCCACTGGAAAAAGAAAAATAAGTCAAAAACTCTTGTCACAAGCAAAGGTATTTGCTCTCAGAAACATATTAAAGAAGCTGTTGCCACCAGCACTCGCCCTGCTCTCAGAAAGAAGCACTAAATATGAAGCAACCGTCATCCCAAGCCTCCCGCTCTTGAATTTTCAATTGCAGCTTCTTAATTCATTTACCTTGTTCTTCCCATCCCCCTTGCATCACCAATGCCCCTCTGTGTTTTTGCTTCAGGCCCCACACAAATCGCTCATTCATCGGAAGTTGCATTGCTGTGTAGAACTAAATATGTTGCTGCTATACCAGCGGATGCCGCGCGCTCAGATTCTCTGCAAGCTATTTTCCTAGTTATGCTTTATTGCTTTCTATTTTCTTCTTGGAAATGAGGTTTTGCTTTTTCTTTCTCAAAATCAGGTACAAAATATCAGACGTGTATTTCCGACTTTTTTGTCTGCACATAGTTTGAAGGAGGGGGATTAAGACCCCCTAAATTAATCCCTATATAAGGGCTGCTAGAGGATGTTAGAAAAAGTTAAGGGTAAAACGAGGTCTGTAAATTAAGTGATGCCACTGATTTTTTTCAATCTTTTCATTCAAATATAATTACAATTTTATATTGTCACCCTCAAAATAACTTCCTTCTGAAGCCACACAACGCTGAAGGCCGTTCTTCCACTCCTCATAGCGGTGCTGGAACACCAATACTGGAATAGCCTTCAGCTGGTCCGTTAGAGCCGTTTGAATGTTTTCGACTGTCTCAAAATGAGATCTCTTGAGGTGATTTTTCAACTTCTGAAAGAGAAAAAAGTATGAGGAGGCTGAGGAGCCACATGAATGTTTTTACTGGCATTATCGTGATGCAACACCCAGTTGTTCTTGATCTGTTGAATGGTGGTGTGAGTCAAATTTAACTCTTTCCCGATCATTCTGACTGTCAACCGACGATCTGAACGCACAAGATCCCGGATTCGATATTTTCATCGGTTCTTGAAGGCCTTTCGCTTCGTGGTTCATCTTCAATCGTCTTTCTCCCTTATTTAAATGCCTTAAACCTCCGAAAAACCTGGGTTCTTTACAAAACATTATCTCTGTAGGCCTGCTGAAGTTTAGCAAGAGTTTCGGTTGCACTGTGCCTAGGTCTGAAGTAAAACCTGATAGCACACAGTTGTTCGAAATTGATGTCACTCAATTTTAGAACACAATAGAAACAACTGCTTCACTAAAAAATTGGTATGGACAACCAAATGGCTCGAGCGAGTTCAAACTTGTACTGAAGGCGGATATTATGTTCTCCTGTCACCCCTCCAGGCCCGCCGCCTCCAGCACGGGTTCAGCCAGGGGGGGGGTTGAGGGGTTCAAACCCCCCAGAAAAGTTCTAAAAAATATGTTTCCTGAACTATTTAAAACTATAATTAAACGTCTATTTGGGCTACTCCATTGGAGATAAGTATGAGTAGTTCAAAATACTACATTAACCATTTTTGAAAGAGGAGAGACGAGGAGTAAAGATTGCCTACGTTACAGTATTTAAAATTGAGGCGCGCCCGCCACCATTATCCGACACCAACTTCAATCTAACCATAATAAGGAAACAGCACAAAAAGCAGTCCAACTGCTTTATACACTTCGATCTTCAAATTTTGTGATGTGCTTGGTGATTCTTCAAAAAGTAATGAGCTATATATACACTGTCGCTATCTAAACAACTTCAAGCAATCAACACTGACCTCATCACAGCACTTAGCCACGTGGACGATGTTATTCATGCTTTGCAACGTTTGAGGACTAAAACTAACGACGAGTATCCCCATCTTTACGAAGAAGCAAAGGCTTTGCTGGAAGAAAATGGTGGTACAGTGGCGATGCCGCGCATCGTCGGAAGGCAGTTGAACCGCTCTAACATTTCTGCACCGGATACATACACTTATTTCAAAATAAATTTATTCATCTCATTCCTTGAACATTCAATTCAGCAATTGACTGAATGGTTTGCGAAGCACCCTAAAGTGATATCAGTACTATCTGGTGTGTTACCTACAAATTTTGCGGCCAATTCTGAAATCGAAGCGGCAATTAAAATGTACTCATCAGTGCTCCCCGAAAAAAATACATCTGTGATTAAACCAGAATTTGAACTATGGAAAGCGGTTATGACAAGCACCTTTACAGAATACACTACTCCAAAATCTGCTTTGGAATGTCTACATAACTGCAATTAAAAACTATATCCAAATATATACACATTGCTACAAATTTTGACTAACATACCTGTTTCCACAGTTACCCCAGAAAGGTCTTTTTTGACCCTAAGGAGACTGAACAAATATATTTGCGCAACAAAACGAGTGAAAACAGACTGAGCGGTTTGCACCTTATGAACACTTACTATGAGACTGAAATTGATGCCGACGAAGTAGTGGATATATTTAAAAAGAAAAACAATCAATTTTATAATATTAAATTGGATCAAAACTTCTAGGTAGGTAATGGCAGGCAAGTGGATGGGACAGCGCGTGCTCTCTGAGATACATTTTTCCTTTTTTGAATAAATAAGATTGTCATTTGGTGCATAACTTTGTTATTTTATTTCATAACCCCCCCTCCAAAACTGAAACCTGGCTACGCCCATGGCCTCCACTGTTGCCAGATCGAACGCTAGGCATTCACTTAATCTACATACCTCGTATTTATTTGTTTATTTATTAAATTTATAAAAGTATTTATTGGGCATGTCAGAAAGAAGATAGAAATAAAAATAAATATCGTAAAGTTCAATCACGCAATTAGATTTTGAAGGATCCAACACCGGATCAAAATCATATTTCGAAAAACAGACAAACTTATGTGAACACTCCCATATTCACCGACACTATAAAAACATCCTTCCATTAAAAACAGAAATTGGAACATACTTGTGTTGCACTTTATACGAATTGTAAAGCTTGATTCCCATGTAATAGGGGTGCGCTCGAAAAAAGTTAGCATTTCTGGTGGGATTTCTATGGACATTTATTTGTATGATAATATGTAAAAAAAGTCCATATCCATGGGCTGGTTATTAATTCCCCGTTTGTTCAGTGAAAACTGCACGGCAATGGTTTCTGCGAAAATAAAAAAGGGTCGTTCACCTAAAGATGATTTTGATTAAAAAGTGTCTTTTGGACTTTTTCATTAAGTTCTTTGAAGGAAAAAAAAACATTAAATATTTTTTAATAACGATAAACATAATGGTGTAATGCTTAATAATACTCGTAGGTTGAAAAGTAAAGCCATTATTACTGATCGAACACTTTTATATCCTGAATCGTATTCCTCATACTGGCCTTCTCAGTGTATGTATACATTATTTTCAATGCTAACTCTATTTATCATGATTCTCCTTTTATACTAAACGGACCATGTTATCTCCCAGGTAGCCCAACTATAACGAGTATCCCTATTAGTTTGACTATAAAAGTGACCCCCTCACTCAAAGGCTGTTGTTCCACCCTCAAGCCCTACCTCAAAAATTTCTCCTGGATACACCAGTGAGATAGCTTACACGTTTTATGGACAATTTCTGTTTCCATAAAGTAATATAAAGTTATTTTCGAGGGTGGGGAGCTTGAGTCTGCGAAATATTACCAACTATTAGTCATATTTTGCTCTGATTGGTCTTGCCAAATCATGCAATTTAAACTATAAAATTAACGTTATTGTATGACTTATTAGTAAAGTTTACTTTTCCTATAACAGAAGCTAGACATTTTTAAAATAAAAAAAAAAAACAGGAAGCTGGAAATATGTTGCGTGTTTTTATTGTAAACGCAACAAACTGGATTTGCAGTAGTATTTTAAGGGTCAATATTCTTAGTGCCGATAACGACACATTTTGAAAATATCCAAAATGGTTATTAAGCCGAATTCCAAATATATTGTAGATCCTATCGTCCTCAATAAGGTCCTGTCTTCTGGTGATCAAACATGTCCTTGCAAAACTACCGCTAGATGTCAGGAATAAAAACAAGGAACGGAGATGGAGATGTCGTCACAATCATTTTTGAGGTATCCTGGGCTTTGACAATGTGTCATTATGTCATGTTGTTAACATTTTATTTGTTATGATGTTTATTTTGCTGGGAAAGTACTACAGGGTGTTCGACTATTGGAAGATGAAGTTCATCTAAATGTGATAAGTAAAAATACAATTCAAGAAATTTTACATTATGGGGGAGTCTACCGAAAATAATATACTCGAACAATACAGAAACACTTCTGGTAAACTAAGAAAGTAAGTACTTTCTCTCATATTGATCCACATCCCACAAGAGTCCTAATATTTTGCAGGCGTTTTCTTCGAAAACCAAATGTAACTGAGGCATGTGAATCTTTCACAACTTTAGCAAAGCAATGTGAGAGTCTGGAACTGCCAGCATATGCTGGTTTGTGCTGGATTGCTGCTGCAAGATGCGAAGGATCTTTGCTAAATAACACAGGGGAAACATCCTCTTTAGTACAGTCAGCAAGGCAGTTTTTTAAAGCTGAAGAGAATGATTTTAATTTAGGGTGCAGTAGTGTCTCTGGAGAATATCTTCAGGTAGCAATATTTCTACTTAGATTATCCAATCATTAAATATGAGTTTTGAATTCATATAAATACAGGTATAGCGTGTAAAATTATTTTTTATGAGAATCTATACTATGTCGGTAAAGAGAAATACACAACCCTTGGATATCAGTTGAGAAACCACATACAGTAAAATAATATTTAACTTATATGAATGAAGATATATTTTATTTCTAGGCTGGCCTTAGCTGCTATGCACATGCTGCTACAAGGTACCCTGAAGGATGTATCATTCCAATTGGACTAGATTTGGAAATAGTAGATTTCTTAAAATGTATTGACAGATCTGAGTTTGTACACAGTTACTTGAATGATGCTGTAGAGTTATCAAAAGGAGGATGCGATACTTACAAACACTGTTTGGAACTTTTAGCATCACATTTTATTGACATTGGTAAGCTTTATTATGATCTCATTACTTTTCCTTGGGTATCTAAGTTTGAATTTCTACTATAAGATGACAGGTATGGTCTGTACCAATAGCAAAGCAAACAGTTTTTTTAATTTAGAAGAGGTTACCAAACAGTGTATCATGTATGCTTAAATATGTATGTAATTTATATAAATCACACTTCTTTTGGGTTTATCACATTTCTGTGATTTTCTTTTTAGGAGATTATTTGGCAGCCCTTCAAACATTACTGGAAATAGCAAAGTTACTGCAAATTCTACCCCTAAATGGTGCCAGATGTGAGGCATTGCTTAACTGTGAGATAATCTGTGTTTTTCTTTTACTTATTTTGCGACCTAGTGCACAAAAACTATCATCTGATCTCACAAAAATCTTAGAGAAGTATACTTGGGGAGATGAAAATGATCCTAGTCTAAAAGGTGAGAAAAATAAGCACTTTTTGTATTTTTAACTGTGAAATTTATTATATATTAAAAAATGGTATATTTAGGCAAATACGAGTATGTACGGGATACATTATCAACAAAATATTCTAATTAAAGGAGTGGGAAATAATACCAAAATTAGGATGACAAAAGTTGAACAGTATTTTAGGTATTTGAAATCTGAAATATAATTTTTTGGTTTCAGTTTCAAAAATGTCAGCCGAGTTGTTCCTGTTACTCCAGTCATTGGTGACTATATGTCAGTCAGTTGATACTAGTGGTTTGGTAGATTTGGAAGCTGATTTCTGGCCATGGCTTTCTAAGCAACAAAAGGAATTATTAAGAACTTTAGTAAAAAACTATTATCATTGTATATGTCTTTTAGTTCATTACCCCCCCAATTTCTTATACAGAGTGTTCATTTGAAAACGCCGAGACATGTCAAACGATTTGTCAAGGGGGAAAACTCTTTAACTAAAAGTTACTTCACCCCTTTTACCCTCTGCCCCCAAGAGTCATCCCTTTAAAAAAATTAGTAGTAGCTTGTTTGCCGTTTGATTTTTCAACATCGGTCTTTCAAGAAAATTAGAAAAAAAAAACACGAAAATATCACTTTTTATATCGATAAGTGCTCAAAATGTTGTGGTTTTCGATAAATCCGTGGTGGAAAGTTTTCAAATGAACTCCCTACATACGCTTAGAAGAGGACCTGCTGAAATAGATATGTTGGGAAGAATGCCAAAAATAAACGTAACCGAAATATTTAATTCTGTACAGATTTGTATTTTTGGCACTACCCTCGTAATATCGAGAGTTGCAGTAATTCCGACTCTGTCTCGGAGAAGGTTATTGTTTTTATTACCATTGGATTAGCCCGTTACAAAGTCTGGACATGAGATGGCGCGTGCAGCGTGATTTTTAACGGTTTCTCCAGGTTTTTTGATGTTTATGTCCAAGCTGTCCTCGTCCCGATTGGAGACCGATGTAATAACAAAATCTAAAATTTTCCAAATTCTACCTTACGAACAGTTCTAATAGAGGTGAAGGTAAATTATAGATCTAAATATAAATATGCCATAAAAGTAGAATACCTTTTAAATATACATATGACGTCATCCTTGTACCAGCTCACGTAATGAGTGCTTTCAATGACCGTATTTACGTTAACTTCAGTTTTTTCAAAGTTTCGACGAATGACTCAGTGATTCTGGTGATTCTCAGTGAAGATATGTGAGGTGCAGAATTTGTCAAAGTATTTGATAAAAAGGTGCGAAGTTGGAGTGACCCATTTGTCAAGATTAAAGTACGTCTTCATTTGTTTACTTTGCTGAACTGAGCTTGATTCAGCATTTGAAGTGTTTTTTGCAATGTTAAGATAACGTTAACAAGAAGCAGTTGTAAAACGTTTAAAATAGAACATCTGAAGAGCGCGGGGACGCTATTTTTAACGGCCAACTGTGAGACCATTTCTTGTTCTTGTTGGACCTAAAATAAGAATATCAAAAAGCTTGTATAAGAAGAGGAGAAGTTGACTTCAAATGTGTGTTTCAGCATCAGTATAAAGCAGATACGCCAACATGGAGTTGAGGTCTAGTAGATCTAGGTCCAAGACCCCCTTTACTCAGATAGAAAGCTTCGATAAAGAGCTTATTGAGAAGGGGAACCATGTAGAAAAGACAGTGGTCAGAACGACGAGGAGGACTACTACATTTAGGTAAGATTATGTGTTAATTGTTAATTCTATCTGTCAACAGAAATTAGGTGGATCATATTTTATCTATGGTTGAATGATAAAGTATACCTTACAAATAGGTTTAACAGTTGTTCTTACTTTCTAGCTCATGGTTTTATTTATGAACCAAGGCAGTAAAGTAATTTTAGCGATCACTATTTGTTGCCAGGCAATGGCTACGACAATTGCCACCCATTGAAATATATTATGGTCAATTTATTTAATTCTATGGTCACTTAAAGATATAACTTTTTTTTTGTTATAAGCATTTATACCCCCTGGCATGTTAGAGCTCCCAGGGTACTTTCCACCTTATGCTCTAATTTAATGCCATGAACTTAAAACACCTATTTAACATCATAGTTACATTAATTACTATTGATAGTGTTAATGACAATTGTAAAAATCCATTGATATCTACTATATGTTTTCATTACAAAATAGCATCTAACCAATTCCATATTTACTGAATCAGCTTTGTTGCATTTGTTGCTCATGAGTAAACATATATAAAGTTCTATACAAATATATAAAGTTTTTAAAATGGGTCTTACAGCAAAGATTTAGAAAAAGTAAGGATCTTCATTCTTTAAGATGTTGACTGCCAACTACAAAATAACTTGTAGATTGCGTTCTTTTCTAGGACACCAACCGCAAGTTATCTCATCCTCAGTATACTTGCCATTTTTGTGCAGCTATGATTAAACTCAGAATATATTGATAAATTGCTTCAGGGAAAAGAACAAAAAATTAATGCTGGCCTACATGAATAGAAAATTATTAAAATACTAACAAAAAATATAATTATAAAAATTAATTCAAATCCAAGTAATAAAATAATGTTTTATTGTTTGTGAACTTCCGAAAATTGCTGTGGCGGTCTACATGTTAATTCAGGTATACTTTCTGGAAAATGTAAGAACACATTTATTTTGGCATTAACTGCATTACTGAAACATATTTTTGGTAATACTGTAGTAGATTTTTTTACTGTTTCTTGTGTAGCAGCCAAATGAGCAGGATTTTTGTTGTAATATTTGGCTATATCTATGGCAACTATACTGCTGACATAAGCCAGAACCCAGTAAGCGGAAAAAATGTGATATAGAAGAAGCATATTTTGATTAAAAAAAAAACAGTATGTCATGATAAATACTGAAAATCAAAAAATTTCCTTTTTCAATATCCAGCATTTTTACGATCATCTTAAATTATAATACTGTATCTGTAAAAAAATAAATTGAAACATAATAAATGACCTGTACTTACTGTATTTTTGTTTAGAAACCATACAGATACTGTGTTTTAATTTATAACCAAAGCAATGGTGCTAGTAGATACTACACTTAATCACAGCAAATTCATAACATTTCTGATTACCTTTCATCGGTCATATTTTATATTTGTATGATACTGTACAAAATTTTTGTAGGTTTCGAATGTACTATCATAACATGTCATAGTATTAATTAAGAAAAACAGTAGTTCACACAAGTCTGAGGCAACACTATATCCTTTTTTTTATTTAAAGATAATCATCCTCGGTAAAATTAAAGAATTTGTAAGACATTTTTTTTAATTTTAACTGGGTTCAAACCAAAAGCATTCTTTTTCCTTAAAACGTTAGAATTTAAGAAGGATTACAGCACGTTTTCATCACTCCTGTAAAATGTGAAATTAGCAGATACTATCTTCTGGCTTATGACAGCAGTAGAGACATGAACATATTGCAACATATTGCACAGCTATGTCAGCTATAACTCAGGTATTTCTTGGTTATATAGACTGGACTGTGAAAATACATACACTTTCTCGTCGGTACAATATCAAGCAAGAATGATTGACAAAATTGTGCACATCACATCCGCTTACATTATTTAAACTACTCGTACATTAAGTAGGATTTCGATAGTCCACCAATCTGACAGCAATATATGAAAATAACTCAGAAATGCAATCATGCATAGCAATATAGCTGGGGCATCTGAAAATATGTTGCTGGCTGCTATGTTGCAGCTAGATAATGCAGTAAAAATTTTGCCTATTTGAGACTCCATCAGAAGCAAGTGTAGGCATTGCTATTAATCAGAAATGTTAGGAAAATAATTGCACTCAATGCTCGTTCTAATTAATCTGAAAAACAAAGTAAAAGTAATGTGAGAAGAAGTGCAGGTAGGCAGGTATTATAAGTATTTAAATATAACATTTCTTTGGATATAAATACACTGCTTGAAACTTCTTCAGCTGTGACATTTTGTCTGATGCATCTGCATAGGATATGGTGGGGTGCTATGCATCTAAATATAAACTGCTTCATTACTTTTTGTTGACTCCTTCCTGATATTTCAAGTATCTTCTAGTTACATTTCTTTTTTTGTTTTAAATCATGGATGGGTTATTTATATCTACCATTATCCTTTTCCTGAAAAAATTTGGACTTCATTATTATTGTATCTTATATGTTGAACCAAAATGAAACTCTTTTAGGACTATATGAATCAGATAAGACTAATTAAACTAAATATTTTTATATTTAAAGATTTGTCCTCTGATCCTGAGACCCCAAATACCATTTTCATAGTGCTTACATAGTTGCTGAGTGCACTGTTCATAACTGATAATGTCTAAATGGTATAGATTTTAGTTTTGCTATATTAGGACCAAGGTTAACAACCATCCATGTAAATATTGTACCATTATTCATGAATAGTATTGATTTAAAAATTATAAACCTGATATAAACCTTCAAGACTTGATTTGTATATATTCTGTTATCAAGTTTGTAGTTTACATTTGTAGTAACTCATCACCATCTCTACTGATCAAGTATTATAACCAGAGGATTGTAATTTTCACTTGATTTTTATTACTACCTAGAAGAGGCAACAGAAATGTTAGAAATATTTTCTGTTGTGCAAAAATCAATTATCACTCATATACATTCTAAGGAACATCCACATTAGTAGTAGCAGAAGTTGAACAGTTATATCAAAATTACAGTTTTCTCCAGAGTGTTTTCTGTATTCCGATATTGTTTAGAATATTGAAGTTAAATATGGAACAGTAACTGGATAGATATTCCTCAGAATCTTATGAAATAGTTCCACGTACGCGTTAGAATTATTTTTTCTAAAATTATATTTAGCGTTTTTATGGTTCATTTGACAATATTTGCATTGTAAATTAGGACCATGAAATATACATAAGATTTTGATTCAGTGTATTCATTATTCCGAATGTAAACAGGTTTTATCTGTATACACAAAAAATGAGGCCTAATTTGACCAAATGTGTGTTTTAGGTGGACTATCATCAGCTAGTATTTCAAAGTACTTACTACTATACATATACATGTCATCTGAAATAATTTTAGGCTTTAGACCTGATTGAAGTAAAATTTTTACAGGATGATTCCTACATAAATTGTTCTTTTTATGTACATAGACATTATTGCGTTAATGATGGCTATGCTATGCACGTATTTTAGCTCCAAAAATAATGTCAAGCAGGTTGACTCTGACCTTGCACTAACTGGAGATCACCATTAAATGTCATTGATCTGTGCGAAGTAGGTGAATTTAAAGTGATATAATTCTCGTAGCTGCAAATATTGAAAACTCAGGGATCCTTCATTTCAATAGGCTCAGTAATTACTCTCGTTTCACTTGTTCATGAATAATTATTCCTGTATTCTTTTTTTCTTACCAAAATTTTACCGTGCAGATTGAAAATTAGAAAAGCAGAGATAGTTTTCGTTGCAGATAAAAATATGTAATTACAAAATATTTACTAATCCCTTGTAAGTACAGAGTCAATTTACTTGATGCGTCGTTTTTTGCCATCAGGACAAACGAAGGCGCGACCAGTTCGACTGACGAGATTGCGTATGTTAAACCCATGAGGAGGACGGCCCGATCGGAGACAAAGAACGTCAAACGGCTGTACAAGACCTCAGACTACTCATCGGAGGATGGCGAGAATGAGGTCACGTCCACGAAGACGATCAGTCAGAACGATAAAAACCAGATAATCGAGGATGCCAGAGCGGCGGCGAATGGCAACAGTGAGGTCTCTGCTTTAGACCTCTACAAGAAGTCAGGGCGATATTGGGAGTAAGTTAGACTGTTTAGAGGCATCAAAACTTTCTTATTTAATACGCTTAGTTTCTTAGTTACTAGCTGCACCGACGCTAAACGTCTGAGGCAATGTCGATGTTTTATGGGAAGGAAAGATAAAATAAAACCTATGTCCATTTCACGGTATTTGGCGGGTCTCACTAAAACTACCAGCATCATTTTTTACACCCATCTCAGTCACACATACATATACAATCAGCCTCTGTGCGCACTTTTGCTTGTGAAAGCTCACCTCGTCACCTCGAACATTTTCTCGCCGGCGTATAATCTATGCTTGTAACTCTCAGTGTGACAACCCTCCTGACCTTTTAATACAAAGCATAGACTAGGACTAGCAGACAATATCGATAGTTTTTGCCAAAATTGTTGGAGTGTTATAATTGAATGAAAGCAATGGTCCTTTATTAACCAATTCATGTGTGCAAGAGCAGGTGTATTTAAGATCGGTTTGCCCCATAAGAAATTCTCCTATGGAGCTTCAGCTCTGCAAATGGTTCAGTTAGTCTATTTACTTATTTCGTATGGCATTGCTGACGCAATTACCAAAAACCGTTTAAAGGACTATACGTCTGATATTCAAGTGCGGATTTAGTGGTGGGCGCAGGGCGCCCCCTTCCCTCTAAAAGCTCAAGCACGCTATTTTTTCAATACAACTAAACAAACTGCTGTATATGAATCGTGGAAATGTATGCTGCCCTCTTTCTAGACGTATGCCACCCCTTGCCTCTTCAATTCTGGCAAGGGAATTTACTCTCAGCAGTGCTGCTTACGCTGCAACCCCCCGCGCTCTTCAATTTTCAATCGTCATACCTCCACCCCGATACTAACATCTTCCTGATTATAAATCCGCCCTCTTGCTCATATTCTATGAAACAACACCATGAACATCTATTTTTAAGTTATCCTATGCTAACCATTTTTCCCAAAATTTTTAAAAAAGGTCAATGATCAAAGCAAAGAAATCATGGATAATTCATTCATTCATTCAAATCACTGAGTTAATCTACTTGACATCAGCTATACAATAAAAGACTATTCAAAAGATGTAGCCGTAATTGTTGTACGCAGAAGCGTTTTTTACTTTCAAATGTCTTACAATACAAGTGACATGTTTTTGTGAATAATTTTGTATAAAAAAATAAATAAAAAATCACTTATTACCAGTTGTGAGATGTGTAGCACTTATCATTTCTCCAGAGTAGCAGTTTTATGTTGTGACGTAGAAAGTGCGAGTGGGTTTATTTGTACTAAAATTGAGACAAAAAAATCGAATGATATATTAATGTGTACAGGTGTTCCAAGTATTTAATGATTGAAATTCGTAAGTTACACTTTACATTTTGAAATAAGATAAATATCAATATCAGTTGTTGGATTTCAGCCAAAATATACTCTCTGTAGCGTTGTGTCTTTGATTTATAATGATGATTGAAAAGGAAGTTACCAGCATTTGGCACATTCCTCGTTTAATCATATTGTATTAAAAATAGAAATTCATCTAAAACTATAATATAAACTTACTGTTTCAGTTTGCGGAGTATCCCAGTTTTGCATAATTGCTCATTAGATGTACATATTTCTGGTCAACCTGCATAAAAAGTTCGGGGACTGTAGCTGAAGCAGCCCAAAGCCAGGGAAAAATCAGGGGGGGGATACTCGGATATTTTCGGATGAAATTTCATTTGATTTTCAAGCATATTTGAGGGCCCTCTGTCAAGCTGTCAGAGTAAAGACCGATTAGGGAAATACAGACATTATATGTTATTTGGATAATAATGCGGTTCATCATTCATTTTTTACTACTGTTTATTTTGAAAATTTTGAAGGGCTAGAAATAAATGGCAACTTAAATAATCTATATTTTTTTGAAACAAACAACAATCTCGTTGCACATATTGTTTGACTTCCCTATAATTTGTTTTAACTCTGTTTTTACTTTCGACGCCAACTGCCAAGGAAGTATTTTAATCGCGAAAAATTCCGAAAATGAGATAGTATGTTGTTTGGATATTATTTGACATGTACATCACGAATAAACATGTAACTTCTTTCCGATGGTTTGTCTGTTCGCTAATCTTTGGCCCCGCTATAAATTGGAAAGAACTGTTCAGAGTTTGATGAAGTCACAAAAGCCGAAAAAGTAGTTTCTGATAATCGATTCAGTGGCGGAGGAGCTACAGACAAAAAAGAAAAAATATGAAAATTGCACACTTTTTTGCGCTTCAAAGGCTTCTGATTCTTTCTAGAAAAACATATAGGGGTTAAAACTGGGGGTTGGGGGTTGTAGGGAGTGGGGGAGGGTGTATCTCAATTTTTGGCGTTGGAATACTTACACACTTCCAGTACCGGTAATTCTACGCAGCTATTAGACATATTTCACAAATCATAAATTTCCTCATATTTGCCTTCAAAACAACTTTATAGAGAAATAATATCCAACACATGCGTCTTTGGATATACCTACGTGGGCCTCTGAACGGTGGGTGGCTGTATTTCGTAGACGATAGTGGCTGCTGAGGTGCTATGTATGGGGAGTGACGAGGCTAGTCATAGCAACATTACCAGATGGTTGATAGTGTCGATAGGGCAGGGGGAAATGTCTAGATCGCAACGATGTAAAATTTTTGGGGACTATGGATTTATTGTATGTGCCTCTTTGACTGAGTGGCTTGACGTCGTTTTTTCTTCGCAGCATCTACCCGAAAACTGACTGGACATACTCTCAGCATTCGAAAGACAGAGTCGAACTGGCCCCCGGCGTGGTGGCCATGCCAAACATGTCTCGAAAGACGATACATGCTGTCCACGAATCAGACAGCGGGTCGTACGTCAACAAACAGACCAACACCGAAGCATACATGAAGTCCAATGCTTACAGTACATCAGATGCTGCCTACTATGGGTATAAGCCTAGGGTGCTGTTCAACAACAACTACAGTGATGAATGCAGGTACTTAGATTATTGAGCATATCTATTGATTAATGCAGGATCGGTGACGGGGGGGGAGGGGTTCAACTGGGGCAATTGTACAAGGACCCGTGCTCTGCGAGCTCCCGGCTCGGCCGAAAATAATTTGAAAAAAATGGTAAAAAAGGTAAAACAGTAAAGTTTGTTTTAACAATTAAATTGAACATAAAAAGTGAAGAAGTTATTTGTATATCATAACGTGCGCGACAATTATAGGCCAACCTTAATCCTAGTTAAGTGTCAGTTGGTAAGGGGTGGGGTTTAAGAGTTGGGTAAAGGGCCCGGACCTCTTATTTGCCCAGGAGTCAGCGATTCCTGTCCTTATTGAAAAAAATAGAGGCCAAAGAGCCTGTAAAAAACAACATAATACATCATATATTGGATAATATAGGTATCAAATAAGAACTACATTATTTAAAAAAGTGAAATTGTACAAAATGAAAACAGAAAACGAATTTACACGTACATAATCCAATATTCAAAATTAAGTAAAGGAAGATTATGATGGAGGTATTTCGCCATTTTCTGCAGTTAGCGTGCTTCGTTTTTCTTCGAAAATCATTCCAGCTTCTGAAAACAGCCTCTCACTGAATATTGTTGAAGCCGGAGCTGATAGAAACATCTGAACAAGATCTGCTAATTTGGGAAAACTCTTATGATTAATTTGCCACCATGAAAGAGGGATGAAGTACGATCAATAAGTGGCAATTTAAGTATTGAACTGAGTGTCTACAGTTTCTAAATTTTTGGAAGTTCCTGCAATACTGTCGCGGCTATGTGCAATATTCGAAAATATATCCCAAACAGACTCATTAGGTTTCTTGCGTTTTTCGAGTATCGTAAATAAAGTGCTAAGCGGAACATCATCGTCAGATTCATCAGAACCTAAATCTACTGACGTAACGCAAGCTTTATTGTTGTCAATAGGTGTCATATCCACAGTTAGACTCTGAATATATAAAAATATCAACTGTTGTTTTATGTTTATCAATGAAAAATGCATCCTTGAACCGGGGATCCAAAAAAGTAGCTATTAAAAAATTATTGTTATTCTCAGTTTCGCAAAAACGTTTAGTCAAATTTTCTAGCAAACTTTGCTGTAAATTTTATAGTCCAGAAATCTTAATTTCCATTAAAAACCTTCTTTATAACAAAACTGTAGGAATCACTTCTGGTATACATAATTCTCTGCTAAAATGTTTGGTAGTTTGCTCAAATGGTTGTAAAAGTCGTAAAAGCTTTTCCAACGAATCCCACTGACTTGGTGTCAAAGAGGGAACCGCATCAACTTCCGTGGCAAGCAAGTTAATGGCCCTTCGCAGCTCGATAAGTCTTTCTAATAGATAATACGTGGAATTCCAACGTGTTTGAACATCTTGAACCATTTTTTTGATAGGTAGGTTGACGTCTTTCTGAATTTCTTCTAATTTTGTTCGAGATGAAGAGGAATGGTATATATGAGTCACTATTTTTCTTGCAATAGATACAATTTCCATAAGGTATGTTTGCCCTTTAAGAGAGTTAACTACTACAAGCTGCTGAGTATGTATAAAACAGGATTCATTATTGACTCCCATATCTTTTGTAGCCTTCTTAATATTAGCACAGCTATCTCGAAGAACCAAGTGAACTCTGCCCACTTAATAATAATATTAATAATAATAGACGTCTTTATTTATCCACAATTACATTGTAATATAGCCAAATGTCAGACTTTAGCATGCTGCTACTCTTACACTTAACCATATAGTCTCTAGCAGATGTTCAAAAGAATACACTATCCACAAACAGATTTGGTTCATTATATCGAAAGTAAAATTTAAAAAAAAGAGAAAAAGGCATACTTTCCAAACCCAAGTACACCAAAAAATTCTTAATCTGAATTAAAGATGGAATAAAAAAGAAATGAATGATTACGTAAATTATATGTTTGGAGGGTTGACTAATAATGTTTTAATTTTTTGTCGAAAGACAGGTATTGAAAATTCTTTGATGAAACAAATACAATTGTTTTGAATAACTTGAATAATGTTTTTAGTGAAATTGTCTAAACAAGTATAGTATACGATATTACAATAATTTAGTATAGATATGACCAATGCTTCACATAGTTTTTACGCAACTTAAAATTTAGTAAATACCTGTTTGCTATAAGAGTACGCAGCCGTAGGTAGGTTTTCTGGGATAGACTTTTAACATGTTCAATAAACCTTAATTTTGTATCAAAGAAAACACCAAGAATTCTTGCAGAATCAGAAAATTGCAAGATTTGGTTATTTATCTGAATGTTCAAGAGCTGTGTTACATTGTATGTTTTTCTTTGTGCGCAAAATAATAACATTTTAGATTTTTGTGGATTAATAAGTAGATTGTGATCTAAAGAGTATTTAATTAGTTTACTAACATCGTTTTGTAAAATTTGAGTAGTATTATTGACATTATCTGGGTTAAAATAATGGAGCAATTGCGTATCGTCTGCAAATGACTGGACATGAGAATTATCAATACTTTTGCTTAGGTCGAACGTATATATGAGGAACAGAAGCGGCCCAAATACAGAGCCCTGAGGTACGCCTGAGGGAATTAATGTCACTTTAGACATTTCTTGATTGAGAAAAACACACTGAGTTCTTTGATGAAGGTAACTGTCGAAAAATGAAAGGGATACACTGTCAAGACTTACGTAATTTAATTTAGCAAGTAATAATTTATGATTGATGCTGTCAAAGGCTTTCGAATAGTCTATAGAGATTAAGGCTAGTGCCATTTTCTTATCTAAGGCACTTAAAATATTGTCTTGCAGATTAAATAGGGCAGATTTTGTACTATAATTTTTTCTAAAACCGGATTGAGTGTCGGGAAGTATAAAGAATTTTTCTAGGTAAGCGGTCGATTGGAACTATAATTTTTTCTAAAATTTTGGATAAAATTGGTAATAAACTGATAGGTCTGAGATCATTATACCCAGTCGGTTTCATTGTTTTAGGAATCGGAATAATTAGAGCTTGTTTCCATGTGTTTGGAAAGTAGCCTTTTTCCAAACAGTCGTTAAAGATGTGGACGATGTGACGGAGAATAACTGGCAGGCAAAGCTGGATCATTGACAGGGATATACCATCAATTCCCTTCGCATCAGATTTTAGGCTCCCTATTGCCTGTAATACGTCATTTGAACTAATCTTGTTCAATGAAAAAATATATTCAGAGCTTAATTTATTTTTGAAATAGTTCTCGCAAGCTAGTGAATCAACAGGTTTGTAGCTATAAAAAGACATAAAATAATCATTAATTTTGGTAGGGTCATTAAAACTTGCTGGAAGGGTTGGTTTACTACGAAAATTTATATCAAGTTGTTTGAGAGACTTCCACAATTTTTTTGAATCATTTTCATTTGTCAAGTTTTCGATATATGTCTTTTTCTCCCTCCTGATCATGTTAAGAGCACGGTTTCTAAGCGATTTGAAGTTATTATAGGCGTCCACGGTCTTATTAGTTTTATATAAAGCTTGTGCAGTATTCTTTTCATCAAGAACAGTGCGCAGTTCATTAGTTAAACAAGGTGATGGTGGCTTATTAACTCTTACAGTTTTAAAAGGTGCATGTTTATTATAGGTTTCCACGATAACGCTTGTAATGTGCATTACCTTCTCATCAATATTAGATTTCGTCTATGCCCGATGTAGAAAGATCGATAAGAAAATGATCCTCACCGAAATGTTTAAAATCCCTGATTTTGATAAATTTTTGTTTTCTTTTATAAGATGGAGTATCAAAATGAAAAAATACGAGTTTGTGGTCCGAAATACCATTCGTGTCCATGACGGAAGAATAGCTGCATGTTTGAGGATTATTTAAAAATATTGGATCGATAAATGTTGCAGTACTATCTGTGACACGGGTGGCTTCCGTTACGATTTGTGTGAACTCCATCAGCTCAAAACTCAGCGAGAATATGTATATTGTTATTAAAAAATGTATATTCAGATCTCCCAATGATATAACGAAAGGTTGGTTAGGAAACCATTTAATATATCTGCACATTGTTGTATGTTTTGAGAGGGTGGTCGGTACAAAACACCTACTAACAGTTCACACTTACCCGCAACCAATTTAACCCAAATGCTTTCGAAAAAATCACCAAAATTTGTATGAATGTCTACATTTTCAGCATGTAAATTTGATTTAACATAGATTCCAACTTCACCACTACGAGATTCTCTATCACAACGCAATAAACAGTAGTTGCTAATATTAACCACATCATTAGTAATATTATCATTTAGCCACGTCTCTGTAACAGCGAATACATCAAAATTTTCTAATGCTATTAAATTTACGTTACAATAGCATCAAAACTAGACATGAGGGAACGTACATTCAAGTGTCCGATAAGCATTTTACCAGCCATTAAGAGTATTTGACTCGTACATAATTTAGAAAAGATTTTGAGTATTCTAAATAATTCTAAAATGATCAAAATAAAATTCGTGAGAGATGTCTTTGTTGAAAGAATTCATACACTGGGCAATTTTTGTCTGTGAAGATGATCGGTACTGTAAGATTTTTTATACTGGTGACACGGAAATACTAACCATATTGCAAAAAAAATTGTCAACGAGAAACCTTTTTTTTTAAGTGAAAATATCATATAAATATAATTAATAATATTAGTAATAAGATGTAGCTACTTACATTTTACCTTTATTCTCCACGACAGAAAAAGGTTGGTTATCAAGAACGATCATTTCTCCTATAGCCTGGTGTATTCTTTTTGCCCTTGAATCGTTTATGTCCCATTGTCTTTTAAATCTCTCAGTAATTTTAATTTGTCTCAATTCTCCTGAAGATTCTGAACCTGGACATTGCTCATTTTCGATTTTACTTTGATCCTTTAATGTAAGTGGATGCTTATATTTTAAGTGTTTCCACAAAGATGATGTACTCGCTTTTTTCCAAGAACGCGAAGAATTTTTTTGCCACATAATCCACACACTGCTTTTGATTCATCTTTATTATCAATTATAAAATGTTCCCACACTTTGCTCATTTTTAAATTGGCTAATCTCGCTCGATAACTCTCTAGTAACACTTTTAACTTTTACCTTAAACAATATAATAGTAAGCTCGATAGTAAGTAACTAGAGTGAAAAAGTAATAGTCAATAATACACCCACAGAACAATACACCTGTACTCGGCGCGGGGATTCACGCGACAACGTCGGGTCTTCCCCCAAAACATCCACGTTGCTCCGTGCATTTGTTCTACGGCAAGCTGGTATTCGCAGAGTTGCCAACGCTTTAACAAAAAAATATTACATATTCTAATCTTTGGCAGACAGTTTCGCAAAAAAGTGTAAAAAAATTCGTTTTCAATTTAAAATGTTTTGAGTTTGAGTTTGAGTAGTGGGAATATCGAGAGCGTGCAAGCAGGAAACAGGTTAAACCGGGTACCCGGTGGGCCGGGATAGCTCTTTACTTTTAAGTCAGCGGCGAGCAATCGTTGAACGATTCCCCAACTTTCGCACGATGTCCTAAAGAACGAAAGATGGTGGAGATCGGAGGCTCGCTTTCTGCTCCCTGCGCGGTAGGTATAGAAGCATTTACGCAACGACTGATACTAAATGTCGTGCGCGTATTTTAAAAACAAAACACGGAAATACGAAAACGGAACAGATTATAAAACGTGTTATGGAGACATTTTCATAATCTCTCTCAATTAAGCGCTGTAACTGGCAGGTGTTCCAGCCGTTTCAATATTTATTAAAAATTGTCCTTGCGATAGTTAAGATATTTGCAATAATCGTATTTCAGCGCCCAAAATTATCTTACTGCACAGTCATGCGTTCCGTTTTCAACGTGAACAAAAATGGATATTACGCATGGCAACCTTCTTTATTCGTACGTTTACGTATTATCTGAACGTTTTCATAAAATTCTGTGTGTGTGAGACTAGCAAGGAAACTCTAGAATTTTTTATCGTTCTATTCGATTGCAGCGCGGCAAATTACGTGGGTGTTTCTAGGTATGGGACAATGAGCAAAAAAAATCGATTAACGGAAAATCGATTTCTAATTTTTCAACTTTAATTGGGGGATTCTTTTTCACTGTGAAATATTTTCTCTAGCCTCTCTGAGGTGTTTCACTTGTAGAAGACATTTTTACTGTTAATCAAGAATCAGTGCATACACTCCTTAAAGAAGGAAATGGGTTTGAAACGGTATAAAAGTGTCTATCTACTTACACATATCGCATCGTCTTTTGTCTACTTGTTCATGTTAGTGAAGTGCAATTTTACTTCGAGTTTTTGCAAGACATAACAATGGCGCTATTTTCAGGAATCGATTCAAAACGACTTGCATAAAAATCGATCATTATGAGTAAGAAAATCAAAGATGTTTTCAAAACCTTTGCGAATCTGTGATTTGGATGAAAGATTACGAATTTGCTGTTATCTGGGTCCTAGGACCAATGAGGCAGATACCATGAAGTTTAAAATGGGGTAGTCTACATTTAGTTTTGGATGGACGAATAAATAATTACAACTGTTATAAAATAAACTGCTGAATTTAAAAAAAAAATTGTTACCTCCAATGATAACCGTCCGTCCTAACACAGACTCTGTATCAGTAAAAGTAGACGATTTTTGGTCAGTGCTAAAAAATGATACAGCTAGCCAGCAAACATTATACAGTAGATTCACTCAAATCATAAAAGTCGTCTATAATTTACGTTGAATCTTTACAGGTACCTTGAGAGAAGCAGCTGGTACTCATACTGGTCCAGAATCAGAAGATCCGTCTCAAAGGTGTTCTCTCTAACGGTATTCTATTATGCCCTTTCTATACTACACTACACATTTACTGTGCAGACCAAGTGGTTTGCTAAACTTCACCAGTTGACAAGCAGAGTGATGCTGTTTGACACGTGGTTGCTGTGGAAGACGAGGAGCAACTCTAATAAATCGAGCAAGCTGGTGCTGTTGTGTTTGCTGCCTTTGCTACTTTTTGGAGGTGAGTTTATTGTCTATACAAAATACAAGGATTTTCAAAACATGGAGATGAAGCTGAAAGGGTTAGTCTCTAGGATGCTTTGATATTTTTTCTTCAAGATTATTGGAAATTTAGGACTACTAAGAAAAAATATAATAAAATTGAAGGTACAAAAATATTTTTTAATAGCCGCCTTGTATCCAATTATCCGATTCTTCAATTTTTCGACTTTGGTACAACTACTTGAAAATTATCAGAGATCACAGTATTCTCAGAATAGTCCACGAAATAAACACTTTATCATTTGCCTAATGTTTAGGAAAAAAAATTATATAGTGTGATTCAGAAAACAGTGGCAATTTTTTTGGAGCAGAAAGAAGGTTCAAAAATAACACGAAAAGTTCATGGGGTCTAAAATGCTTCCTTATTGAGATATATTATAATTTTGATGTCGAGCATGTAGAGCTGGAAGGTAGTCCCAACAATATTTATTTTTCGCCTTTTATTCAGTGTCATTAGTGGCAAAGAAATGTATACCCTGTATTTTAGGACCTATGCTTATAAGTTCTGGATGTATCTCCTCCTCTAGAAATATTGCCATTATTTTCTGAATCACCTTGTATAATGACAGTTTTAAACATTTTCCCTCTTCTTAACAGCTATACTATAACTGATTTTCTAAAAAAAAGATCATTGAAATTCTCTTCACGGTTTGAAAAACGATTAGGCGAACGTCACACGATTAGTGTTTACTGTGACTAGTCAGTATTTATCATGAAATATGATATTTATTGAATATGTAGCCTGGATGTCATTGATTATTTATGTATGAGGCTACATAAAAATCCACTGACACTGACGGAATCTCATCAATAAATACTGATGGTATTGACCTCAGTGAATACTGATCCTGTGAAATTCGTCTTACAGATACAGTAAAATATTCACTAAACTCGGGCAAATTTCTTGGTGGTGTATTCATCACTAAATAGTTTTATTCATTACATTATTGCACAGCACCAACGTAGTCGAGTGTAACATCACATGTCTGATTGTTTAGCTGATCAATGTTAGTCACGATCATGTGTGAAAAAAAAATGAAATCAGATCATTAGCGTGTTGCCGTTTACTCACGCAAAATTGTTCATAGTAATTTAATATGCATGTTATTAATTAATTAACAACGGTTCACACATGCTTTTTATTTTTATTACTAGTAGTTCGAGGATTAAAGTATTTTTGTAATGCTATGGAGTCTTATTTGACGTTATTTAACATATTTCGGCGTATTTTGAGTTGTAACAGCTTCTTGGTATATTTTGTTTCATTAGGTAAATAAACTCTTGTCGCTAAATAAACCTATTTCACACCTATTTCGTTGCAATAGGGGCCCAAGGTTCCATCAGATAAAAATAAATCAGTAATATCATGCCCTATAAGGATCTGCGCAAGGTCCCTTCGTTTTATATCAGAGAATTATTAACTATTGCATCTTTGTCAAAAGTTTTGATTTTAGTTTTTAATTATGTACAATGATCAGGGCTGGCTTCACAGTCAAAGCATAAAATATGCGCCCTTCCCCAGTGGATTATATAACGGGGAGACTGCCTGCCTCCTGTGTGTTTTGTGTTGGGTCACAAAAATATGGAAAAGATCGCGCCTTACCTCTTAAAAGCAGGAAAAACCAGAGATTTGAGATTTTCCTATTATACCCATAATAGCGATATCTATATCCAATATTTTTTGGGCTATGGCAGAAAAAACTTTCCGCTGTAGAAAGCGCAAAAGTAATCGCTTACGTGCTCTTCTCGGAAAAACTCAGAGACGCTGTGTGCAACAAAACAACATTTTGCTATTTCAAATCCCAAAGTCCAAAAAAAATCATGTAGGCTGTGTTCTTTTCACTCTACAAGATGAATGTAACATACATGTATATTCCCTCACAAAAGTACAAACATGCTTTTTAGGGGCAAAATGAGACTTCTTCAAACGTTTGATAAAACATCAAAAATAAGATTGAAAGACTAATACGTTGTCGAAATCGAAGGCATATACATTTTTGTGTTGCCCATCCCACAGTTCGAAAAAAATAATCATAAATACAAAATTCTCTAAGTTACTTATTATAATTTCTACAAAGGCCAGTAATCTATGGGGGGGGGGTTGAGGTTCGGATTCCTCTGACTGTGACTATCTACGCCTCCAAGTTACATATATGCAACCGCCCTCCCTCCACATTAATTGAGAATTTTGCGCACTGAGGCGGCTGTATCACTTGCTTATCGTCTTTAGCCAGCCCTGACTGATATATTAGAATATTGGAGAATTCAGAGTGACTTTGAAGTTGAGTCATTAATTTTCAGATAATGATTGTAGAAGGAAGATAAACCAAAATATGTGTGTAAAAATAAAAATAAAAATTAAAAAAAATGTTACCTTGTTTTATAAAGTATCCTCCCGACAAGTATTTCAGTGCGGACCTGTATTTGATCGTGCGGTCTTGGAGCACCGGCATGCCCTCCCTTGTGAGATCTTAAGTCACCTGATTCACGAGCCCTTTGTACTACATTAACAAAGGCACGAGGGGTTGGTTGCACTCGATTGGGAAACCGATCCGCATAAAGACTCCCCCCCCGTAAATAAGAATCATGTCCACAAGTCGTCCCCTTAGAGCAGAACTATTCTATGTCCAAAAATGTCCATTTTCGTTTTTTGATTCCTATGTACATTATAAGATCTGCGCTTTCTGCTGCAAAAGTATTCTATGTCCATGCGTACGACTAGTTCAGCATTTACGTAAACATGTGCATTTTTTATTTCGTTTGAGCCACGCAACAAACACCACTATTCACTCACGCGTTACCGACTGACACGTTGACGGAAAACAACTGAATAAAATTGTACATTGTAGTAAAAACATCGTTTCAAATTCTTTCGCTTTTTTGTTTCCGATGCGATGAACGGATAAGGCGGATTATATCCGTTGTTGCCAAACACGAGCACATAATATTATTATTGAGACAGGGCGGTACTCAAACTTCTAAAGGGCTATAACTTTGTTACTTTGATTTTACCAGAAAAATGTTAAAGGAAAAAAGCATTTTTTTTGATCAGATCTACTCACTGTTAAAATAAATGACTCAACTTCGAAGTCACCCTGTATATCTGATGTCTAGCTATCTAAGAAAGAAATAGAACCAAAACATAACCAGCGCAAGTTCAGTTCGTAATTAGCATGTTGTTATATTTAAAAAAAGGGGAGCGTAAGTGTTATTGGCCAGAATCTGTCGAACCCATTTACAGGACCAATGCCAAACCAGTAAGGTGGAATTGGAGACGACGCCGCGGTGCATGCAACTTCGTGTGAATATGTTTTGATACCGCGTATTTCTTCAATAGAATTTATGTCATTGATTTGTCTAAATTTACGTGAAACCGCCGTTAATTGTGACAGTGAGAGATTCGAGATGTAGCTAGTATCGATCTTCAGTCGTTGTAGCATTGGCTCTGATAGTCTCAGTTCTTGAGTATATTCTAAGCCAGGATTGGGTTTTGGATTTTAGAAATCTCTGTTGGAACAATCTTTTTGTGTATATTTCAGGTGTTCACGTATACTTGGCCAGTGGTGTGTCCCTTGCCCCTTCCTGCCACCCGAATTGCGGACGAATGGCGTCTCAGTACTTTAACGAATTTGCTACAGACGCGTACAAGTTTCTCAATTTCTCTGATAAATTCGCATCTGCTACGGGATAGATGCGTATAGGGGATGCTCCTCCAAAGTTTACTTGTATCACCATTTTTGCATTTAGTAGAGATATTTAATATTTATTAGAGATGTTAGTTACTCGGTAGTTTACTACAGTGAGGAAGTGCAGAAAAGAATGAAGTATAGAGGGTATATGAATAGTATGGTCTGAAACACTATAGGGAACTATCTATTTTTTACACTTGGGTTACCATAAAAGCGGAGTTAAAAAAGTGTATCATCGTTATTATATAAAATTTAAAGGTAGTTTGTGCGAAGAGTAATCCAGACGTTATCTACTATTGTATTGGATAATCTAGTCAAACATCTACTGTAATGTAGAGTTAGGGATATTGAGTTCCCAGTTACCATTTTTCGTGTTTTACGATATTCCCGTACTTATGGCCAGTATAATTGCACTATAATAGTGCAGTTATGATTTGAAGATTGTCAGCGCTTATACGTACTTTAGTGTACCGAATAAAAAAATGGAACCATTTGCAAAAACCATATAATCATTAATGAAAGAAAATTGAAAAAGCATTCCAGTGTTTGATAATAGAAGTATTATGATAAGTCTAGGGGGCTGTATATTGGAAATTTTCGAAAATTTCACTCTTAGTATTTTTATTTATTAAACATATGATTTTCGTTTATATTTTGATTTTCTCTATATAAAGTTTCAAGTACCATACTGTGTTCCTAATTGTTCCTAGACGATTTCGTTAAAGTACAAATCACCAATGCGCTTCTTGAGAATCAGATTAGTATCAAAGTAGTACTTTGAACATTTTTTTGTCAGTGTTCAAGCTTTCAGTAACGCATCACGTTTTATAAATCTACTAATACAAAATTTCGCTTGGATCGTAATAATTCATCTAAGAGGTAAACAGTTGAATTAAAATATTTAGATCAGCAAAAATTGCTCAGTGATCTCACTTGTTTGCACGAATAACCCTCTATGCTCATTGTCTAATTATAATTTTGTAGTTCAATGTAGCTGCAATCGTTTATTTTTAGTTAAAGCAGAGCATGATTTTTTGCACAATTGACTGAAATAAATTGGCGAATTATTTTTGCGTGAAGGATTTCCTTGTATATTTTTTGAAAGAATGTGTGTCAGGAACCCATGGTTATTGCATCATCCATAAGAGGATGTGTTGTACAATATCATGGATCATCCGTTCAAAATGTAGAGTTACTCAAAATTAAACATAAACATTAAAGTGTGTTTTTTTTTGTGAAGATTTTATAAACGGGGTTAATCCATAATAAGCAATAAAGGACTCCATTAAAAAGGTGAATTTGCAGAATCATGGAGTTACACTAATATTTTTTCAAATTTTCAAAGTATAAACTTTAATTAGTTCGAGATTTTGGAAATTTATTATTTATAAGATTGATCTGTTTAATAAAATTTAACAGATCACGTTAAACTGAGCGATCGCCTCTACATTGGAATATAATTTGTATTTTAAGTGTCATAGTCTATACTAACTTATTAAGCCTACCATAAATATATCTATATATACCGCATTTAAATATCTATATATACTGTTTTGTTTTGACATATTTTAACCCGGTGAATGTATTTTTATATATATCTTGTTGTCATTTTGCAGTAATATAATTTTTCAAACTGTGCTTTCTGTTTTTTTATTTCAATGGTGGTTTGAGAAGTGGCAAGGGCAGTGGTGACACCATATCTTTTTTGGAAGGGTCGTGTCAGCAAATTTAACGAAACCCTTACATATGGAGCCACCACTGGACAACGTTATACACTTAAAGATACATTTTGCAATTGGTTTTACACTAGAATCATTCCTAATACATTCACTGTTTGTGTCTCAACTTCTGTCTACTTTTGTCTTTAAGTGTATGACACTTGAACCTTATTTCAGGGTGGTGGATGCTATCAAACCTAGGAGGATTTTTATACGGGACCTACTTTAACTCTACCTCAATTGCCACCCCAGTAGTGACACATGGAGAAATTTACGCAGATGTTAACAGAAACACCGAGGAAAAGTTAGATAGAGGTTACACAGAAAAGATTGTCAAAGTGACTGAGAAGGTTTACATTGAACCACCAAGGGCAAATGAAATTGCAGCTGGATTAACAAATGAGCAGCTAAGGGTTATATCCGACTCGTTGAGGCAATCTATCAATATTGACAAGGAATTTAATACTGACGAAATCATTCAGAAAATCTTGATATCTCCTACGTTCAAAAATATTGTTAATAACTTCAATAAAGTAGAATTTACTAATGACAGAAATGAAGATGTTTTACTACAGCAACAGAAATTGATTGACGATTTGAAAGACGAATTGAGCAAACTTAAGCTAGGCGTGACAGAATCAGAGCAAAACTGGAAAGATCAAGTTCACAATATTTTGAACCAATTCAAAACGGAAACCATACACCAGCATATCAGTAATATCAACAAAAGAGACACGTCCGGGAATGATAATATGGAGATTTTAAACAATCAAAAAACGATAATTGAAAACTTGCAAGACGAGATTAATAAGATCAAAATAGGTATGAAAGAAACGGAGCAAAATTGGAAGGATCGGTTAAGTAGCATTTTATCCCAACTCAAAGCTGAGTCTATGCAGAATAATGCACGCCTCACTTACCAAATCAACAGATGTTGTAGAAAACCGATTATCAACATTGAATCTTATGTTAACAGAATCGTTACTAGCCTTTTGAATGATCCAGAGTTTCTAAAGAATCAAAATGGATTCAACGACTATTTACACGCCATGTTCGTTGCTAAAAAAGACCTAGAAACTACTGTGTTGAACCTCACTCGAAACCTGGACTCAAAATATGACAGCTTGGTTGAGGACAACACTAGAATTCTAATGGACGCTGTGACGTCACGACTTAAAACAGAGATGGATGAAAAAATGCAAAGCTACAAAGCTGATATCCTCTTGAAACAAAAAACTGACGTGAGCTTCAAAGGATTGCCTAATGAGAGAGTGAAACAGATTGTAAAGGAAGCATTGGACATCTATGACGCGGATAAAACTGGGCTGGTGGATTATGCTATGGAAACCATGGGAGGACAGATACTCACTACGCGCTGTACAGAGAACTATCATTATGGTAAAGCTGTTGTGTCAGTGCTTGGGATACCTTTGTGGTATCCAACAAACACACCAAGGACTGTCATTACACCCAGTATGCATCCTGGTGATTGTTGGGCTTTCCAAAACTTCCCAGGTTTTGTCGTCGTGAAGTTGTCAAATAAAGTCAAGATCGAAGCTTTCTCCATGGAGCATATCAGTAAGTTATTAGTACCAGAAGGTAAAATCGATTCAGCGCCAAAACATTTTGAAGTGTACGGACTTTCTGGGGAGGATGACAGAGATCCTGTCAAGCTTGGGGAGTATGAGTACCAATATGACGGCGAGTCAATCCAATACTTTGCTGTGGAGAACGAAGGGCATGTGTTTGAAGTGATTGAATTGAGAATAACCTCTAACCACGGTAATCCAAATTATACGTGTCTTTATAGGTTTAGGGTGCATGGAAAGCTTAGTCATGATCCTTCATGAGGTAGTGATAGTAATATATGATCTCGTAAATTAATTTCTGTAGCGGTGCGCTATAGGCTATTCCAAATCACGTGACCGATGGGCGAAATTCGGCGTTGTCACATTGGCAGATACAGTTCGCAGTTACAGTCCTAGTGAAAGTTTCTTCAAACATGACATGAGCTACTATCGAAGCTTCGAAATCATTTAAAATGATCTAATTAACGAAAACATGACCATGTTTTCAGATTTCGAAATATTTCGTAGTTTGATTTTTATTTTTGAAAACTTGATGCTTAGTGACTTGACCTTGAAGGTCATGGTCAAGGCCATTCTTGGGTTATCTCCATAAACCTCTCAAATGTAAATATTCATTTGACCTAAATGCCACCATCATTTTTCTCCTCGATACCCTGTAGCTTTTGTTTAAAACTTTTTTGTAGTGTGCCCATTTTTCGAAATATTTATGTGGGTGGATTAAAATGTCAAGCTTCTTATTACAGTTGATGTTTTGGAATAGTCTCTGTACTAGTATAATTTTTCGTATCATGATCTATACAAAATAATTGGTATAATTAATTGTAAAACTCAGTATTAGATCAATCTCCTTTAATTGGCTATTAGAAGTAGCGTACTTAATTTCCAGCTATAGTTTTTAAATTTTTGCTCCAGCTCTTGTTCGTAATAAGCATAAGACTTTTGGTACCTTACATTATTTAATCAATACCCACACAACTTATGAATTTTTTAGTTCCTCTTTGTAATATTTTACCAACAAACACTCATCGTTGTAAGGTAGCAAAAGGTCGAATTCTACTGCATTGTTTTGTATATTTGTTTATCAAATGTTGTTTTATATGTATTTACACTCCGCACAAGAACTGACTAATTGAACTTATGCTAATTATTTATTACTCCTGTGAATAACTACCCCAAGGTCCTCTCAGCCTAACAAAGCCCGAACACGTGCATGTAATTTTTATTTTTTGAATTATTTTTGCATTTTCATCCAAAGGTTTCGCTGTAATATTAGATTGCACGTTAATTTGTAAGGTTTTGTATCCCAACTAACATTTTGTAGGATTATTGTGAGTCTGTGATTTGCTTTAAATTAAAAAGTAAGAAGTACAAGAATATTAAATTCGTATGGCCTTATAAAGATGTGTATAATGTTTACCAGTGTTAATATTTATAAAGCCAGGCTAAGACACGCACAGTCATTAGTTTTAAGGATTAACTTTAACAGTACTGTTAAGGAATTGGTTTATGAAATAAGTCAAAGGGTGTGACTATTCAAACATTATAAAAACTACAGTAGTATGTGTAATTGGCGGTATACATTATCGGACAAAATTAGAGAGACTAGACTGATAATGACTTTTATAGATTACAGAAATATATTGAATTTTTGTAACTGAGCTAAAAAACTTATATCATTAAGTAGTTTCAAATGAAATAAATTTATAAACGTTGTTTCCAAAGATTTATTACATAAAATAAAAAAATTAGGAAGACTTATCCTTAAAATACATTTGTATCCTATATTAATGAAACAAAGCTAGTACTTCGGCAAGTACCTTTTGTTCTCAATGACTCTTTGGCATCGACCCAATAAGATTGGAAATTACAGCTGGATCAATTGATTTCCAAGCATTTTCAATCTCTTGAAATAACTGAGCAGGATTGCTGATATTTTTAGTTCGAATCTTTTTCTCTATTATCTCCCAAAGATTTTCGTTTAGGGTCAATATCATGCTGGAAAGTAAACTTTAGCGGCATTTCCCATTCATCTTCCAATATAGTACGATACATGAATCGATCCATGGTGCCCTCAATTTTGTGGATTTGGACCCCGAAACCAGAAAAACAACCCCAAATCATTCTATTGCCACCTCCGTGCTTGACGGTACCAGAAACATATTCTGGATTAAGTCTTTTATTTTCGGGACTATATCAAACTAAACACTAAACAAACCCTTGTTCCAGGTCTTAGCTGTCCAGTGGCGGTCACGTGTTGCAAATATCATCCTAGCAATCACATTTTTTTTGATAGATAAGGTTTTCTAGCTGGTCTCCTTCCAGGAAGCCCCGCTTCCACGAATCGTCGCTGAAAGATGAAAATTTCTGAACATCCAACTGAGCCAACAGACAGCCCGGGTCCTTCTGACGTAAACGCTCAATTCTCCTGTCCAACTGTTTTGCAGTTTTTCTCTTCCGGCCACGTCTCTTAAGGTTAACAATCCTTCGACGGAGTCGAAAATTTAGTATTGTCTTGAAACCATTTGTTTTTTACATTAAATTGTTCTTTTATTAATTTTTGCGAGCTAACTGATTTATAAGCTTCTATAATTTTTTATTTTAAATCTATGGAATAATGTTTTCAACGAGGCATTGCTAATAGTTTTCTCTGTTGTTTCAATCCAACACTTGATCAGCGAAACTAAATACAAAACGAGCCTGTCTAATTTTGTCGCAGGTATTTCTTTATCAATACAAAAAAAATCTTTAAACGAAAATACCATCTGCTACACAAATAAACTGTTGATAATGAAATTCTTCTGATCGCCGGTAATACACTGCTTAACAAAAATTAATATTATTTCAAGTACAGAAAACGGGAATGGACAAATAGCACAATCTTTCTATTTTTGTCCGATATTGTATTTTGATCTTACAAGTGCATACATATTAAAATAATATTAGTTTTGTATTCTTGTAATGTCGTGATGCATCACCTGTATCTATGACGAAAAATTATAAAATAATAGTGTAGTTACTAATAGATATTTTTATCATATGTCGTCAAATAACAATATGGGACGAAATTAAGTGGTATTTTTTAAATTGTCGAATGTAGTGGCTGCACGCTGAAACTAATTCATTGTTAATTCTACCTGGCAAACGAGACCTCAAATCTTGGTTGCTGGCTCAACATTGAAGTTATGCTCTCCGAGCAAGATTTATTTGCATTTGCAATTTGAAAGTTGCAAGTTTGGTGAATAACGGATTTTAAGCAAAATATATTAGTATGTATGTTTGAATAAAACAGAGCTTTACTTACTTTATTCTATCTACTTCATTTTGATTTTGTGTGGCGTTATTTCATCTTCAAGATTTATCAAACTTCTTCTCGGGACTGATTCCTTATTGTATATCAAGCTCAGCTTTGTAGCTTGACATGCGTTTCTGATATTTGTTTTACTTGTCACTATCTTTTATACTGAAATTATCAAAATATCTTAATATTTGACAAATAATGTACATGAAAATTGATTTTGTAAGTACCTTATGCACAATAATTTTAATTTTAGGCTGTTTTTATATATAGTTGATATATCATTGGATGTTTTTTGAATATATATATATTGCACATATTTTGATGTAGTTTTTAGTTTTCGAAACTCGTACCACCATTTGTAATTTATACCTAATAATAAAGATTGTTTTTGTTAGACGAATGCGTTTGTTTTCTAATCCTCACAAAGACAAAAAACCAGAGGGATATTGCGTATCTTGCAGTTTGTATCAATTGGGTAGTTAGTTGTGGACAGGGGCTACAAAGATTATGATTTTGATGCAGTTGAATGCAGTAATATGTTACCGCATCAATCGCAGGAAATAAATCGCCTACACAGCTAAAATGTCAACGCAAGCTCGATACATTTGCTTACGGTATACTGAATATAATATTGATGTTTTTAGGCATGAATCCACTTGGAAACAAGTCCGGACAGGGTATAGATCCTCATTGTTGGTGCCCTGTGTTTTTTGGTCGATCGTCTATTAGCAAAGCTACCAGCAGGTTTTCAAGCTGTCACGATTGTTCACTCTGGAAACTCACAATACTTCGAAGTTGAGTCATTTATTTTAACAGTGAGTAGATCTGATCAAAAGAAATGTTTTTTTCCTTTAACATTTTTCCGGTAAAATTAAATTAACAAAGTTACAGCCCTTTAGAAGTTTGAGTACCGCCCTGTCTCAATAATAATATTATGTGCTCGTGTTTGGCAACAACGGATATAATCCGCCTTATCGGTTCATCGCATCGGAAACAAAAAAGCGAAAGAATTTGAACCGTTTATCACGATCTCAGTCAATGTGGCAGTCGGTAACGCGTGAGTGAATAGTGGTGTTTGTTGCGTGGCTCAAACGAAATAAAAAATGGCACATGCTTACGAAAATGCTGAACTTGTGGACATGATTCTTATTGACGGGGGGGAGTCTTTACAAAATGCTGCCGCGGCATTACGGATTTATGGAAATCGGTTTCCCAATCGAGTGCAACCAACCCCTCGTGCCTTTGTTAATGTAGCACAAAGGGCTCGTGAATCAGGTGACTTAAGACCTCACAGGGGAGGGCATGCCGGTGCTCCAAGACCGCACGATCAAATACAGGTCCGCACTAAAATACTTGTCGGGAGGATACTTTATAAAACAAGGTAACATTTTTTTTATTTTTTTTTATTTTTACACACATATTCTGGTTTATCTTCCTTCTACAATCATTATCTGAAAATTAATTACTCAACTTCAAAGTCACCCTGTATAAATTTTCAATGTTCCAGGGTTACTGGCGACTAGATTTTTTCATTTTTTCTCACTTTTTTCTATCCATCTCACGTTTACTGTATATATTGTAGTTTATCAACGTTTTCGAAGGATCTGCCCTTGTTCTCTCAAGTACTACGAAATTAAATGAAGTAATTTTTTTATAAAAATTAACGATGACACTGAGGCACTGAATTATAATAGAAGGCAACATTTCGGTATTTGTCTCCCGCAGGGGTATTACTTATTTTGAAAAGTAACATTTTGTTTTTTTGATAGTATATACGATTTTTTACATTATGTAGGTTTTTCTACAGGATGATACCTTAGGCCCGTATCGTCAGTCGTTCCTACAATTGTAGGGCGCGTTTATGGCCTCCTTGATTGTCATACTTCTTTCTCTCCTTCAAAAATTTCTAGATTACACTTGTCCCGTGTCAGCGTCAGCGCTCTCCTATTGTAAAGATATGTTTTCTTTTTAAATTGTAGGAAATTTCAGGCTGATAAAGCATGATATAACTCAAAAGCAAGCACAATTTGATGCAAATAGATGTTTGTGACATAACCTCAAAATAGAGCGCTGACACTTAGAAGTAGAAAACTATGACAATCAAGGAGGCCATAAAGGCGCCCTACAATTGTATGGACGACTGATGATACGGGCCTTAGCACTAGCTGTTGTACACTTGATGTGTACTCGCTCCGTAGCTGTACGTGTTGTGTGAAAGCCATGTTTTTTCAGCTATGAATGCTTGGCTCTGATGTGATGTAAAATTTGCTTCAGAGATGGCGTTACCGGAGCTCCAAGTTGTATATAGTTGTAGTCACCGTTCTTGGCGGGTCAAAGTAAGACTTCCAGTATCCTTGTATATATCCCCATCTCCTTCATACATACACATGCAACCTACTCCTGTGTGTGATCGTTTGTTGGGTAAGCTCAAAGACATACGTTTTTCAGTTGTGTGTCTCCGTCTCGAAAACTTTGTCGCTACGTATGAGTACCCTTCAATAAGATTTGTTAGAGTGACAACTTACTTGACAACGGCGTGCAATTTAAGTTGTCCTGTTATCAATCTTCAATATAAAATTGTACAATGCCCGGTAATATGATCAATGGAGAAGGCCGACAGCTCGTGCTAAATGAGAGAATGAAAACAGCGGTCCCATGTTACCCACTTCCAGAGATAAACCCTTCTACCCACTTCATACGTACTGGAGAGAGCAGCAGATGCGCCGAAGATTAGTCTGCGCAGTGTTCGCCCATGGTACGGAGATTCGATCTGCTTACTTATTTCATATGGCGTTGATGACGTAACCGGAAGAACGGTGACTAAAACTATACTTTAGCTGAAAGAAAAAGGCTGTGATGTGGCCTAATTACACACAACGCGGGTGTGGTGCTGATTTCCCGTAATTCTTCTAAAAGTTTTTGAAAATGCAAAAAATTGGAAAAATAGTAATGTATTAGTTTGAACATAACTTTTCTTTAGACCGGACAACACAAATAATCCGTCCGGCACAACTGATAGGTATGTATATTTCATGCAAGGGCGGATTAAGGATTTCGTCTAGGGGGGCGCGCAAACGATATTTGGGGCTGGTCATTTTTTAACCTCAGTGGAACTTCTAGAATTTATCCTATTATTGCTCCTTCAATCCATTGTGTTCTATCTGGTCAAGGCCAGCTTGAAAAAAGGCAATATTTTATTATATGAGAACAAAATAAGTACGTGGCATGTATAACTAACTAGTGTAATAATATTAAAGATTCAAACATAAAAAAACTTCATTGCTGGTAACAAAAAAAAAACATTATGAGGGAGTCCGAGACACATCCCGGTCCATTCCACACAAAACAATGTTTGCAGGCTAATACATACAATCATCCAAATGTGATCTTGCTACTGAGCTACTCAACCACACATCTTCCCAGAGTATACTCTATCTCGGCATTCTTCAACCAACAAAGCAGGATGGGGAACTCGCTTGCAGCTTGCAAGCATGGTCATTGAGCGTGTCGTGTCGTTGCGTAATTCCTCCATGGATGGACGCTTTTGATGACGCTCGCAACGCTCATAGCGAGCAAACGCGGAATGTACTATTTGCAATAGGAACTATCTAAGTAGCAAGTTGACATTTTGCCGGTGTTTTTGGACGTTTAATAAAAAACTTACGTTTTTTGTCCGTATAAGCTAGCCATTTGATATTGCTGTCCCTCTGAGAGTATTGTTGAGTACACAGTGTGGTATATGCACCATAATCCGTTTGATGGCATGGTACTTTAGGACATTTCCAGATAAAGATTTGCACCCCCTCAAAGCGTGTCCTGAATAACGTAACGGCCACAAGTATAACTAGGTACTTATATCCGTATATTTCGAGCTTCCTTGTTTGTCTTTCGCAACATACTACACCTGGCTTTAAACACTGTTTATTTTACCATTTGGGTTTCAATTAACAGATCATTACGTTGCCGTAGGGTTTATTTTCGTATGAACGTTCTGTTGACTGCCACTGAAAGAAGAAATACCAAACTAAAACATAAGTTACCAACGTGGGATACTTTATATGTGTAAAGATGTGAAAAATTCCTTCCAGATCTACAGAAATCTGTAGGAAATACTCATCAGCGTGTCATAAGCAATGTTTGGTTCTAGAAGATGATGTGTATCATCAGAAAATGGAATGAAGAAGGTTGACTCAGTACTTTCCAACGTCTAGTATTCGTGAATCTTACTAATCTTACAAACATACTGATATTGCTTAAACCTGCTCAAGGGCTTTGAAGAAAAAAAAAACAAATATAATAAATAATAGTAATGGTAGGCGTCTATATTTGTTACATCTACAGAGCAACAATGCTTTAGAGTAATCCTACTTGGTGAAGTTTAGTTTGGCTATTCTAATACTAGTGATTCTTCACTAGAGATGAGTGTAAATTAAAATCACAGAAATTTCGAATGATAGCTGCTAAAAAATAGTGAATAACAAAAAACATAAGAATAATGTATTAAAATATATATTGCGAATATACTCGTAATATATTATGGAAATATAGTAATTGCGAATCATAAATTAGCGATTTAATTTTTGACGAAAAACTGTTGAATACATTTTTTTGTGACTGGGGTATTGGATTGTAAATAATTTCAGCATTACATAAAACACCATGTTTTAATAAGATTGTAGTATGCTGCGATATTACCGTAATGTTTCTAAGGGCTCAGTTATGAATTTATTTATTAAAAATAATGGTTGTCTCAGATCTTCAGGTTCGACATTAAATAATTGTATGTATGTAATTCATTTTGAGCCACTTTTGGGGATGTGTGATCAAATTTACTTAGTCTAATGATAAATCGGACATAAATGTGCTGGATAATTTGGATAGTTTTTTTAGGTGAATGGTCTAAGGAAGTAAGACAGACAATAATAAGGCCTAACTTTCGTTCGTAATTTGAAATTAAATAAATAACTGTTTGCCATCAAGGTACGATAGGTATGAGATAGATTCTTGACATACTCAATTAACATCAATTTAATATTAAAAATAAGACAGAATTTTTGAATCAAAAATTTCGACTATTTATTTGGATTTTCAGGCGAGAGGTTGATTTTTCTGAATTAATTTTTAAATTACGGAAAAATGTTCTTAAAAACATCTTGTAAAAATTCAACAGAATTCACCACATTTTTTGACTTATTCATAGGCATTGGGTCCTTTAATAAAGGTAACTTTCAAAAAAGAAAGCTGATGTATCGGGGCT